CTTTGTAGGGGGGTAGGTGATGAAAATAGAAGCTAATGGATTAAATTTGGACATGTTAAATTGGACCGGTCGTGAATGGGATTAGAAGCTGCCATAAAACTCTCTAGTCATTAAGATGTTTTTGAAGTAGACATCCGAACAGACTTGAATGGAGTAAAATGTAGATTTCAGTATTTTTTCACTATGATTAACAGCTAGGCGGATATAATGGCATATTCTTGTTCGTGATGATCACCCTCGGTGGAGTAACAAAATTGGATTTCAGCCATTTATTTTAATCCAAGTCATGCATCCCTCACATGTAACCTCAGGCCTTGATAACTTAGTCATTCTACAGGTTTCTTCCCAAAATAATGCAGCCTTTTGTCCCAAGTTTCCAAACAGGTACAGCATACATTCTTTAGCAACCTAATTACAATGCCTAAGCATTTGCTTGTGCACAAGCGATGGATAAATGAACATTCTCAAAGAATTACAAAGAGAAAAGATATTTTTGCAAATTAGTTATCAGTACCTCATGATTTAATTCTTCCAATCTGTACCAAGTTATAAGTTCATAACAGTAATGTGTATTTTAGAACAAATTACAATTGTCTCTTCATATTCTCGAGTGATAGCTGCCATCGTGATTTTATTGTGTGTCAGTGAAGTAATCCATGTAATATGATTAGAAGTCGGTATACAGTCTGTCAATATAATACTACTTACAATATTATTGTTACTTCGACCACAACCTCGCTTCCGAGGAAGAAATCGTTATGTTACAAATTGTGTCATGGAAAATCTTTATGGTCATCAATTATATACATATTTTACTACAAATAGTAAGTAGTTTTGATTCTTTAACTTCCGTGAAGCGATCTGAACACAAGTAAGATATCGTTTCAGGCTTCCACAACGCTCGCTTCACACTCACAAACATAACCCATTTAGCACGAACTGCAGGGCCCTGTGGAAATCTGTGCATGGTGACACCATTGCCCGACCCCTAGGAGCAATTGACGACAACACAACGATTCGGCATGTCTTCGTTGATGTCGAGAAATCATCAAAATGACAAGCTTGCTACACACTTTATATACAACTAACTGAAAATCCTTCCTCATATGACGTCACTGCAGTGCTTTGGCTACAGAGTTACGTAACCTGTCTGCGGTTTCGTTGGCGGGCGCGAGTGAAGAAGGCGACATTTTGGCAACTTTTAATCGCGCGGTATTAATTAACCACAAATTTTTTAAGAATGAATTTGATGTTCGCATAAGACTAACCACAAATCTTTCGTATGTAACGGTTAAAAGAGTAAAAAAAACAAAGTATATTTGTTCTTGAACAATTGTGATACAGAAAACATATTCCTGTATTCATGAAGGCATAAAATACATTTAAGGCACCCAAAGCAAACATGTATGTTGATTAAAACTGTTTGTCACTGATCCTTGAATTTCAGCTGTTAGACTCAGCCAATACCATATCACTAATTGTTTCTGATTTAACCAAAGATTTCACAGTTGCCTTGTTATTGGTCATGATAGAATGGATGTAAACCTAATGCATTTTCTGTTGAGAGGTTTCAAATTTGGTTAATGCCTGTTTGTAGCTGATTGGAAAATTTGATATCACAGATCAATATATGATCAATATTTTTTTCTTCGTAGTAAGTGTTTTTTAAACCAATCTGAAGAATGTTATTGAGAATTTATATATTCTTTGGACCGTTTTGATTTTTCAAAGCTGATATGTAACAACATGAGTTGGAGCAGAATATATGTCATAGTGAGTGAGTGAGTGAGTATGGTTTTACACCGCTTTTAGCAATATTCCAGCAATATCACGGCGGGGGACACCAGAAATGGGCTTCACACATTGCACCCATGTGGGGAATCGAACCCGGGTTTTCAGCGTGTCGAGCGGACACTTTAACCATTAGGCTATGCCATCGCAGCTATGTCATACTGACGACTTGGTGTGGATTGTTGCTCATGCTATCAACCCCTGGTTTATCTTTTCCACACAATCAGAACTGTGGAAATTCTTAAATTCTGAGTTTTGCAAAACTGGAAAAGTTGTCTTACTCTAATGGGTTTCAGAACAGTGCAGAACCTTCGAAATATTCAGATTTCTGTTTTCAGAATTTTAAAATTTTGAAAAGTAGTCTGACCCATCTGGGTTTCAGAAATGTGTAAAAATCTGTAATTGTTCCTGTGGTCCTGTGCTCGAAGCTCAGGTCACAAATTGGTGAAGTTAAGCACCGTCGAGCTCGGAGAGTCCTTGGACGGGTGACCGTGCTTGGCAGCTTGGCTCCTGAGAGTTTCTAGGACTTCAGTCCTGCCCCACAACGAAGCACATGTGACACATGTGGTCTCACCTTAGGCAATTGAGTTTGTTCAGCATTGTCTCTGTTCACCCAGCAGGAAAATGGGTACCCGGTGGGATAAGTCATGTGACTATAACCTTCTAGCGCCTAACAGGCAGCTTGGGTTATCCGGAGTAATAATATGTGTGCTGTAGCGCCTTGAGCGAGCATTGAATGCACAGATATAGGCGTGGTTACAAATACCCACTATTATTATAATACACCGAATTCTGTGCCTGAGTTTTGAAAATTGGAAATATAATCTCACTCCATTGGATTTCAAGGATACAATTTGTCCCAAGCTTCTATTTGTATGGCGCCACAGTCATCAAAATAATTAAAGTTCTGAGTTTTGAAAAATAAAAATATAGTATCACCCCACTGGGTTCCAGTACAGTGTGAAATCTGTAATTCTTCATTATACACAGAATACTGTGTCGGAAATATGTTGGAAATATAGTCTGACCCATTTGGATTTCAAGGATACAATTTGTCCCGAGGTTCCTATTCACTGAAGGCATACTATACGACTGTTTGTACGGCGCTAATATCCAGTAAATATCCAAAGGTTTCGGTCTGTGTGGAGTCATGATTGACAAATCAATCGAGTCTAATCAATCACTGCATGGATCATTGCTCTTAATATTAATCACATGCTTGTCTGGTCAGGACTTGACTGAGGCTGGCACCACAGTGCTACAATATTGCTCTGGCTGTAAATGACAATCAAACTGCCATTAATAGTTCGTTAATTTGGAAGTCTCGACCACTTACAGCTTTTGTCATAAATATTCGATAAACCAGTCTATCAACAATAAAACGCCTCAACAGCTTTTACACTTAATTGCTTAGTGAGGTAATGATCAACAAACAAATCCAAGATAGTCTGTAGGCAAAGTATAAAACTGTCCGTTTACAAATATCAAATGAATAAACTGTGTCTTCTCTCTGATCCGTGCAACATAAGCCGTAGTGAGATGTGAGGACGTTGTTTGAAGATGGCAGCTGGTGAATTATTTTTGGCCTCTAGAATTTCTCTGTCTTTTGTAAGATGGATTGCAAGGAATAGAGAACTTCTCTTTGAAGTGATTTGCACATAGATTAAGCTGCTTATGGTAACAATTACTGCCAGCTGGCATATTCAGAAGTTTTTTAGCGTAACATGATAAATGACACTGTCATGGCAAAATTCGATTTTCTTGCCACAGTTAAGGAAAGATGGGAACTGATTTTATTATGTACTTTGAGAACTCTTCAGAGAGACGTTACTGAACATTTTACTGCTTGTTTGTTGTTTAAAGCCACACTCAGCTATATGGCGTGGTCTGTAGTTAATCAAGTCTGGATCAGACAATCCAGTGATCAACATCATGAGCATCGATTTAGGAAATTTGGATATGATGGCATGTGTCAACCATAGACTAAGCCAGCAAGCCTGACCACCTGCTGCTGTTAGCTGCCCCTTGTGTAACGCATGGGTTTCAGAAGACCATTTCTAACCCAGATCTTCACTGTTAGAACATTTTATAGAGGAGGTATATTTGCTATAGCTCACCTGACTGAAGATCAGGTGAGCTAAAGCCAGGATCAGCTTGTTCATCAGCTGGAACTCTTTGATCCTGGTTGAATCAATGATGTAGAGCCTCAGCTGCCAGTACCCTTGTATCAAGATATAAAGTTTGGTATCTAATGCATGTATATTGATTAAAAAGGTTAAGACCTACTGATTCTTTCATATTACAATCGTTATTCAGTTATGTCATAGTAGTAATTAACAGTTAGGCTTAATATGTGTGTGTGTCTGTGAGTGTCTGTTTCTCTGTGTGTCTGTCTGTGTCGGTGCTTGTCTCTGAGTGTAACTGGGTGTGGATTTCATATTACTATAGTTAATCTGTTGTGCCATAGTTATAATAATAATAAAAGTCATTTATGATTCGCCTTTAGCCATGTACTTGTGCATGTTCAAGGTGCTTGTTGTAACAAAGGGGGCGGTGGGGTAGTCTAGTGGTTAAAGCGTTGTCACGTCACGCCGAAGACCCGGGTTCGAATCCCCACATGGATACATTGAGTGAAGCCCATTTCTGGTGTCCCCCGCCGTGATATTGCTGGAATATTGCTAAAAGCGGCGTAAAACCAAACTCAGTCAGTCAGTCAGTTGTAACAAAGTGTTTAAACTCCATATGTGCCTGTGTCTGTGTCTGTGTGTGTTGTGTGTCTGTGTGTGGGGTACATCTTTGTGTGTGTCTAAGTCTGTCAGTGTGTGTGTGCATGTGCACGCATCTGTCTGTATGTATCTATGTCCATGTGTGTCTATCTGTATGTGTCTGTGCATCTGTCTGTATTTGTATGTGTCTGTGAGTGTCTATGTTTCTGTATGTGTCAGTATATGTCTATGTTGACCTTCTATTATTCGAGGGCGGTGGTGTAGCCTAGTGGTTAAAGCGTTGGCTCGTCACGCCGAAGACCCGGGTTCGAATCCCCACATGGGTACTATGTGTGAAGCCCATTTCTGGTGTCCACCGCCGTGATGTTGCTGGAATATTGCTAAAAGCGGCGTAAAACCAACCTCAGTCAGTCAGTCAGTCTATTATTCGACAATGTAGAAAGGTAATCTATATGTAACTATATTTGTTATATGTTCTTCCAGCAGCCCCAGTGCATCTGCCAGCCAGTCCCCAGCACCCAGTGAAGGGGTGAAACCCAGTAGTAGCTTTTCTCTGGACAGAGGCGAGTCACTGGCTGAAGCATTCAGTGAAGAGATGCTGGCATGGTATGACGACCGGGAGGCCAAGCCAGCCACACTGGTGTAAGTAAGTTGACGTACATGGTTGTGCAAATGGGTACCCCGGTAGTATCAGGCGTAATTTCACACTTTCATTCTGCATATCATTATTGCAAAAACTTTCCTTCAGTGTTCATCTCCAAACACACTGCCTTTAATTTCCTTATTAGTCTAGCTGTTCTCACATAACCTACTTGGGAATGTCAAATCTGGTGCAATATGGATCTATATTAAAGGAAAAAAACGATAGTTATTAATAGTTATACATTTCCAAGAGAATCATGCACAAATGTCAAGTAAATCAGTATTATGATTTTTAAGAAAATATGAAAGTTATATGATAGAAACAGCAGAAAACATTAGCCTATGTTGTTTTGGTTGTTTTTGCACAGGATCAGAACATGCAGTGAATGATACGGAGACTTTACTTTGCTCGCTGATGAAACATGATGTAACTTTGAAGTAATATAAGCTTACAAGAATTTTTCAGTATAGAAGTCCAATTATGTGGCCTCACATAGACATGAAGCTATATCTTGTCATTAAAACTCTGTGTACAAAGTCAAGGCCGATGTTTGAACATTACCAGATTGGAATGTTAGCATTCAATGCCAAAACCCTTGTCTAGACTTCTATTCCCTGCTAATGAAAATCTTTCTTTTTGTTTATTCCAATCGTCCAACAATGCTTCTTTTAACAGAAAAGGGATTGCTATAGTAACAAAGAAGTAGTATAAACCACCTCTGATTCTTCCTCCAGGCCAAAGAGTAACTGTTACAAGTTTTAACTTTAAATTGCAATGTTGTTCTCAAACACACCATTTTATTCCAAGGGAGGTCACTCCAGGTGGAATGCCATGGGCAGATAACTCCAACTTACCCTCCTAATGCTGTTAATCATGTTACAATTACAAATTCAAACTTTTGTGACAACTGAAGTAATGATGTTTATATGGCCAAGCTGCAAAATGCCACTGAAAAATTACAGTTGTTCTCTTTTGAATTATTATTGGTGAACATGATTAGAAATCGTGATAGCATTAGTTAGATATATTTTGGGACAAAGGTTTTGGAAGTCTTTTTAGAAGGACGCAGATAATATTGTCTACAGATTCAACATTTAAAGTGAGTGAGTGAGTTTAGTTTTACGCTGCTTTTAGCAATATTCCAGCAATATCACAGCAGGGGACACCAGAAATGGGCTTCACACATTGTACCCATGTGGGGAATCGAACCTGGGTCTTTGACGTGACGAGTACATGCCTCAACCACTAGGCTACCCCACCGCCCCTCAACATTTAGAAAAGCGAATAGTGTAGAAAATATGTTACTGTATTTTTTCAAGATTTTTGGGTTGTACAATGCTCAGCTTATGTCACAGCAGTTGATGGGGGCAATCGTTCAAATATTCCATTATCTGTGAGTTTCAAGTTAAATTTGATGTGAAAATTTGAAATGGCCTTTTCATGGTTGCATGTTTTTCTGATTACAAATTTTTTAAAAGACTGATGCCATTTCATCATTACAGCTGAAGAAGAATTCTGTCTTCAAGGAAACGGTGAACTCAGATATGTTTCCATGGCATCATGGTATTACCTTGCTCAGCAATTTGACCAGTCTGCGTCAAGAGTTAGGAACAGTATTTCAATTTTTGCATACATCCATCAAATGTGTTTGTGAAGCTGGTTTCCTAAGACACAGAATTCAGTTCCATTAACAATACATCCAATTATTTTTTTGCAACATGTTTGGTTTTTAATGAAGTGATCATTATGTCTTTTCTAGGAATAATTCTTTTGTTGCATGTTGTGGTTTAATGAGGATTCTATGCTTTTTTAACACTGTGGCTATGATATAAGTTACTGATGCTATGAGTCATCCATCTCACCTAACGAGGAGAGATCATCACTCTGCTAGCATTCAGGTCCCATATCTATCATGCACCTCCATGGTAAGACAGGTCCCTATGTTTTAGTGTTGGGAACTGGTTAAAATCTCATAATTGATGATTTGTTCATTACAACCGATCAGTTGTCAAAAAAGAATCGGTTAGCGTCATTTTTCATATTTTCTTATTCAGGTTGTTATAACATGATGCAACTTGCTGCTTTAAAGTGAGTGAGTGAGTGAGTTTAGTTTTACACCTCACTCAGCAATATTCAACCTATATCGAGGCGGTCTGTAAATAATTGAGTCTAGATCAGACAATACAGTGATCAACAGCATGAGCATTGATCTCCGCATAGGGAACCGTGCTTTAAAGTGTTTACTAATATCCATGAACATAAACTTCCTGGAGTCTTCAAGAAATATTCAGTCATGACTTTTCTGTCAGTGAAATGAGGTTTCTAACAATTTTCTGACAACTTCGTAGATATGTTCGATCGTCAAGTGTTTCAAAAACTAAACCAGTAGTTCCAAAATCGTTTGTGTTCGATTATAAGAAAATGTGTTCGATTGTATAGTCATTTTGTCACTCCGACCAATCTTCGATCATTCAATTTATCGGAACACCAATACTATGTTTCATGGTTGTTGTCATTCATGGTGTCTATATGTCATGGTTGGTGTGATTCATGGTGTCTGTATGCCATGGTTGTTCCTGTAAGGAATCTGGACAGGATAGATGGCTGTATGCCATGGTTGTCCCTGTAAGGAATCTGGACATGATAGATGTCTGTAAGTCATGGTTGTCCCTGTAAGGAATCTGGACATGATAAATGTCTGTATGTCATGGTTGTCCCTGTAAGGAATCTGGACAGGATAGATGTCTGTTTGTCCTAGTTGTCCCTGTAAAGAATCTGGACAGGATAGATGGCTGTATGTCATGGTTGTCCCTGTAAGGAATCTGGACAAGATAGATGGCTGTATGTCATGGTTGTTCCTGTAAGGAATCTGGACATGATAGATGTCTGTATGTCATGGTTGTCCCTGTAAGGAATCTGGACAGGATAGATGTCTGTATGTCCTAGTTGTCCCTGTAAAGAATATGGACAGGATAGATGGCTGTATGTCATGGTTGTCCCTGTAAGGAATCTGGACAAGATAGATGGCTGTATGTCATGGTTGTTCCTGTAAGGAATCTGGACATGATAGATGGCTGTATGTCATGGTTGTCCCTGTAAGGAATCTGGACAAGATAGATGGCTGTTTGTCATGGTTGTTCCTTTAAGGAATCTGGACATGATAGATGGCTGTATGTCATGGTTGTCCCTGTCCTGTAAGGAATCTGGACATGATAGATGGCTGTATGTCATGGTTGTCCCTGTAAGGAATCTGGACATGATAGATGGCTGTATGTCCTAGTTGTCCCTGTAAGGAATCTCGACATGATAGATGGCTGTATGTCATGGTTGTCCCTGTAAGGAATCTGGACAAGATAGATGGCTGTATGTCATGATTGTTCCTGTAAGGAATCTCGACAAGATAGATGTCTGTATGTCATGGTTGTCCCTGTCCTGTAAGGAATCTCGACATGATAGATGGCTGTATGTCATGGTTGTCCCTGTAAGGAGTCTGGACAGGATAGATGTCTGTATGTCATGGTTGTCCCTGTAAGGAATCTGGACATGATAGATGGCTGTTTGTCATGGTTGTTCCTGTAAGGAATCTCGACATGATAGATGGCTGTATGTCATGGTTGTCCCTGTCCTGTAAGGAATCTCGACATGATAGATGGCTGTATGTCATGGTTGTCCCTGTAAGGAATCTGGACATGATAGATGTCTGTTTGTCATGGTTGTGATATTTCAAAAGGGCTAGAGATCAATCTGCTGAAATATTCAGTCAATCAGTCAATTTGTTGCTGTGCAGTTCTTCAAGACAACGATATCCTTCAAACAGTCTTTCAATAAAAATTAAACTTCTTTTCTTGGAATTTAATAGTTTCTTTGGGAAATAAGTTTTAGTCCAGCAAGATCATCTGAACCACTTAATGCTACACAGACTGTTCATGTTTCTTGAGAATCAACATCCCTCCAAGCCTGAGAGCAATATCATGTTAACTTTCATCTCTCCTTAAAATATTGAAGTCTTCCATTCTCTTCACATAAACAAAGAAACTGTATTGATTTTACTGCAAAGTGAGAACACTAGAGTGGAATAAAGTTAAATAGTTAACCAAACTTGGCACACTGTTATTTGCAATTTGTTTATTTCAGATGACAAGACACGTTTGTTAGGACAGGAAAATGGAGGCGACAACTCGATGACCTTGGGTGAGCCTGATGATAGTGCTTATCTACCCAATGTCTTCCACGATTGATTATTGATCTCTGTGGTTACAAAGCTGGCATTGATTACATGTAACAAGCCTTGATCAATCGGGATGCAATGTTGCAAGAAAGGAGTCCGATTACGCCAGAGAAAAGATGCATTTACTGCTGGGCCCCGAGGGTGAATGGGCTGTTTGTTAGCCTTGTGACAGAAAGCCAGAAAATAGCTGTCGGAAGGCCACTGGTTTGAACTAATGTGATGGACAAATGACGAGTTGGTGACAGAAATATCCTATGGCCTTCTCAAAGTGCAATTCACTTCCAATTTGAGTATTATGAATTTGAAAGGTGCAATTATTTATTTACCAAGATTTGACGTCTTGCAGCAAATTGCTGCCAACAGAGTGTAATGGTTGTCATTGAAGAACATAATTGTCGATGCTTAAGATGAAGCAATTGTCAGAGGCAAGTTTTGTATGATTTCTGTTTTTTCAACTGATGAGTAAGCATTTTGTGGAATTTCTTGAGAAAAGCATGGAAAAAATTATTGAAGTTCACATGGCAAAAGGATCATTACGGATCAGTATTGACGAAGAAGTGTAACTCTTGACCATGCAGACATTAACCAATCACATTCCTCTGATGACAAATGTGTACAAACTCCTACACTCGTATTCTGTAAGCTCCTTACAGTGTCTTTGCTCCTCTCATGAAAGCATCAGCTTTGTCAAGCCTGTTCAGAAAGATGAAATGTTTATTGGGATTTATCATGGCAGACATACTGGATGATATGATAAAACTGTCATGTCAGACGCAATGAAAGCTTAATATGTGCATAATACAATTCACAGATCCAACCCGGAAGAAAAAGCTGCCAAAATTACTCTCAGCCGACTCAGATTTGCATCAATTTAGAATATCTTTTTCTTATCTGTGTGTCGTCTGTCTGGAGCAGCGGAGAAGATGCTCTTTGGATCTTTAAGACTGTTTCATCTTCACACAGGTTTCATTATAAAAAAAGTGCTATTTCTGAAGTTACTTTTCATTTTAGTTCTTTTTACAAATAATCAATTTTGTTATTTTAGGACGTGCCTTTTAATTTTCAAAGGACCACTTGTTGAACGGAAATCACTTGCTTTTCAGATTTTTAGATTTTAGTTCTGAAATTTAAGTACACCAGTCTGATGATTTTTGTGATGTTTTCTGAATTTTTTGGCAAAATTTTATAATAATCTCATTGAAAGCAGATCATAGGGCTTGCTACATGAAAGATCTGAAGACATCCTGTTACAGGTCAGATTAAACCGACCTTTCATCTTAGCAATCGGAATGGGCATTACGAATGAATGTTACTCATTTCAAATGCTAGACGTTTCATGCTAGACGTTTGCCCGTGGGAAGTATGGCCATTCATTCCTAGCCATCTTTTAAATATTACAGAGCTTTTTTGTTCGCTTTCCAAAGTTTGAATTGAGAAATGTATTTTCAAAGCATAGTCTGGAATGGAAATTGCATTTTTAAAACTAGTGCCGTACAGCACAAGAAAACTGCTTTTTGATGAGATCAACTCAACGTCCTGTTGTTTGCTGTAGTCGTTTCACTGGTCTAAAATTTGTGAAAGGTCATTCTAACATGACCTGTAATAGGATATTCACAGATCTTTGTGTATCAGTATACTGAAATCAGATTTTAATTGTCACACCGAAGACCCGGGGTTCGATTCCCCACATGGGTACACTATGTGAAGCCCATTTCTGGAGTCCCTGTCATAATATTGCTGGAATATTGCTAAAAGTGGGGTTAAACTAAACTCACTCACTCACTCATATTTTAATGATATTGTAACATATGTTATTTTTGGGATTACACTTTCTCAGTAAAGTATAGATTCTAATACTTTTGTTGGGTTGAGGCCCTAATCGCCGTCTAACCCACTTCCACTTTACTAAGAAAGTGTAAACCCAAATACAACATATGTTACATCTGACCACTTTCTAAACGGCATTGTGCATTAATTTAATGATATTGTTGTATGAAAAGTTCAGTAACTGTGTTGTGAAAGATGATTTTAGGATCATTATACATGGTTGCCATTATTTCTTCAAAATTCTGGTAAGCTTCGGATCCTTGTGGTTCCAAGTTTTGTAACATCAAGTACACACACATTATACATGGTTGCCATTAGGGTTGGGTATCGCCAAAATTTTCGTATTGCGATATGTGTTGGCGTATTGCAATACGTATTGCAGTATTGTGAAAGTGTGACACATGGTTTAGCTCTTTCAACACCAGTCAACCAGAGGCTTTTACTGCCAGGCAGACCCCGAGTTCCCAGAGACTCTGAGGTCATAGATGAGGCCTATGTTTATCAAGGAAAATATCAGCTTGTAAAACATTATTACTGCTACATGTCATGCACCATTTGAAAGGTTTAATCCCAACATATTTATAAATATGAACGTTATACTTTATCCGGTATTATCGCCCAACCCTACTTGCTAATATTTCTACCAAATTCTGGTAAGCTACAGATCCTTGTGGTTCCAGGTTTTGTAACAACAAGAAAACACACACAAGATTTCAGTTTGGATTATATTTTACTTGTAAATGTAGGCAGTAAATCTATAAAACAGAGAATCGTAACACTTGCCTAATCCTTCATAGAAGTTCATTTTCTTCACCATATCATACCATTGTACCAACTACCAGTACCTACAATCACTTGCAGTATTAAGAGGCCCTGTTAGGGTTATAGTTCATATTTGTATATTTTGATCTTTACATAGTCTAGATGACCACCTTAACAGGTCCTCATGTGTGGGTCTCAAGGACCAAAAAGTTAGCTGTAGGACAAGCAAATGGCCAGTTGGTATTTTTGTCATGTGTTGTTTATTTATCTGAATGAAATGTTATTGTTTGTATCATTGATGTTTTATGCAATCTTGATTGGCAGCATATTGATTATTACTGTTTTTGTTGTATCAAAGTACACAAATTGTCGTCATTTTTAAGAAAAAGACTTTTGTTTCAGGTTGTTCATTCTTTCCACCTTTAAATTTTAACTTTACTTTTAATTGTATTTTCTACATGGTAATTGTCACTGAATTCTATTGTATATGATCACTTGTGTAATATTTTTCAAATCAAATTAAGTTTTTAGTTATCAGGCAAAGCAAATAATAAATGCAATCTGTTGTTTAAAGTGTTCGCAAAACATATTTACATATTACTAAATGTTTTGACAAGATATTCCATTTTCAGATTACGCTAAGATAGTTTATTTCAATTATATTTTTTTACTCAGATATGATACCTCTCTCCATGAAGATGCAAGCATACCTTATTAGGAAGTCAGATCAATCCTAATCAGCCAATCAGTATTGAGTCTTCTAAGTGCTCAGTACAAAAAAAGTGAATCATTCAGAGGCTTATATCTGATTTTTCTTTTTCTAAAACCAACACAAACAGTCAGTTCTGAATGTAAATACTTAAAGTTGCATCATACACTCTTGTACATATTTTATGTCTTGACATTTGTCAGTGCCAATGGCATCTACAATCAAAAGTCCTATAGAAAAAATATTTGTGTTCTGAGTAATATGCTGTTAACATGAAAATGTCAAATCAATATTGTACAGAAACTTAGCCAAATCATTTAGAAAGCTGAAATTTGATTGGCCCAAGAACCCAGACATTTAATAGAATGGTTAAAGTTCAGGTTCACCTTGTTGTAAGAGGCGACTAACAGGATCGGGTGGTCAGGCTCGCTGGCTTGGTTGACACATGTCATCGGTTCCCAATTGTGCAGGTCGAAGCTCATGCTGTTGATCACTGGATTGTCTGGTCCATACTCCATTATTTACAGACTGACGCCATATAGCTGGAATATTGCTGAGTGCGGCGTAAAACTAAACTCACTCACTCACTCACTCAGGTTCACCTGCACTGACTTCCTAAGCATCATTAGATCTTCATTCTGAGAGGTAAAGTGTTGAAATAAAAGATTTCACTACTAAGAGATTGATGTAAATTAAACATAGCCCTTGAAACTCGAGAACATTCACCTTGTAACCAGTACAGCTGAGACATATATTTCTTTGTACAGTCAAACCTTGTTGTGTCAAACTTGTGGGAACTTAGGGAAAGTTTTAACTATTAAGGGTTCGAGACAACCAACGAATGCATGTCCAAAACCAAACATTATGTTATGGGATTATTACATTTCATCTTGACAAAGTTTGGGTCATATTACATTTTAAATTTGATAATAAATCATAACAAATGACATAATACTTGTATTATGTAATGTTGTTTTAAATAATTTATTCTTTCTCTTTTAAAATTCAATACTTATTTTGTTAATTTCTGACAGTCTTATAAGTCAATGCTGAAATCGTAGTTTCACAAACATAATCTAAATCCATTTTACTTGTTTCAACACCAATCAAGTAAACACACTTCATTAAGTTCAGTACCAAAGTGTATACAGTAACGAGCTAGCACCTTTGATGTACGATGTGCTTGTTACATCCAAGGCATCAATAGAGACCGGCATCCTTCCTTGGATGTCGTTACTGTAATTACAGAGAGGTCAGTCAGTTAGGTGTGAAGTGAGTTGAAAATTCGAACTTTGGTAAGTGTTGGTGTCTATGAACATTATTTTGCATTTTTAACTGTTTGAGGCACAGGGGAATATTTGTAATTTGAATTCTTTGGACTCCCATAGTTCAAGACAATGTTTAGTTTGAAATGTCCAAGCTTGACACAAGGTTCATCTGTACTTAGAAGACAAGGCAACATTAAGTTCCATGCTGAGTTACCGTTAGAACTTGACTGCATTAAGTTGTTTTTTTATGGAGTAAATGTCAAATAAATTGAATTACAGATCTGTTATAGAATAAAAGAGATAAATAATTTAGTGCCTTTAAAATTTAAGCAAATATTAATGTTTTTATGATAAATAATTAAAGTAAAATTTCATTGACTCTGTTATTTGGTTAAGTTTAGCTTTTGAATATTGATGTTGATAGTGATTAAATGAAATTATTATATACATGTATGTAATACGACAGTGAATTTTCTGAATGTGATGTTCTTTGTAAATAATAGACGTTGACATTTAGCAACCAATAGTTCTTCCTTGTGGAATTGAGTCATAACAGATTTCACAGTCTTTACCAGGAACTGTTGCATAGCAACAAGAAATACTACCCACCTCATGATGCAGTTGGTAATGCTATACCGTATAGATGTGATGCAGGGAATTCTTTGTGTAGAGGTGTATTTGCTCAAAGGTCTCTGTAACTATTTAAGGGTTTCCAATTCACTGTAATTTATTTTGTTCCAAATTTTAAAAAAATTAATAATTTAATGCCAAAATGCCAAAATGGAACATGTTTTTTATCATGCCATATTTACACTTTACTGTGGAATCTTTTAAGGATATCACTAATTCTGGGAACATTTAAAAAAATACAAAATTGTATTTTCAGTGGTAGACTATACCAGTAAGTACTTACTTTACAGATATGTCATGTGATTTAAACATATATCAATTAAATTAAATACCCATATTTCAAGATTAGCATGTACACTAAGTACATTTACTTCTACATTTTCACTGTTCTACATAATCCAGTAAAGATTTCTTTACCATAATATTATTCTTCAGTATACAGACCACCAGCCATATAGCTGGAATATTGCTGACAGACCACCGCCATATAGCTGGAATATTGCTGAGTGCGGCGTGAAACTAAACTGACTCACTCACTCACTCACTCTCACTGGGTTCTGTCAAGCAGACCCTGAAACAAATATACCAATACAATCCATGCAAGTCTATAGTATGTGGGGCGGTGGGGTAGAGCAGTGGTTAAGGCGTTCGCTTGTCACGCCGAAGACCCGGGTTCGATTCCCCACATGGGTACAATATGTTAAGCCCATTTCTGGTGTTCCCCGCCGTGAGATTGCTGGAATATTGCTAAAAGCGGCGTAAAACCAAACTCACTCACTCACTCACTATAGTATGTAGCAAGGCTACATTTCTGCAGTAGGTCTGGGCTCTTTTTAGTATATTTAATGAAGACAATTCAAGAAACTGTTTTTCTGTAAAATATGTTTATTTCAGTAACTAGATGTTAGTCTAGATGTAAGGTAGCATCCATAAAAGCAGATAGATGCAAGTGAAGTGAATGAATATTTCTCTAATATAAGTGGTGTATTCTGTAATTAGGTAATGCTTACTGTCATAGATGAAGACACTGTTGTTGATTGAATGTATTGTTTCTTGGTAATCAAGCTTCTGTTAACTGGGGATTGGGTGGCTTCAGTGGAATGAATAGTGTGGGAGTCAAACTGTCGACCTGGATATGTGATGGGGATGCTCACACTATCAACCTCTGGTTTGTTTGTTCTGAAGTTTAGCTAATTACAGCACGGAAGTACTTTCAGTAACATACTCACACCCTCTAACATTACCACCAACTCACTCACCCAAAGACTAGTCACACACTTACAGTCCAACCAATGACCACCGACTCACTCACTCATTTGCCGATCCAAGGACCACCAACTCACTCACCCAAAGACTAGTCACTCACTCACAGTCCAACCAATGACCACCGACTCACTCACTCACTTGCTTACATAACCAAACACCCCCAACTCACTCACTTTGCCTTGATCAAAGTTGTAGCAAACTACAGCACTCACTCACTCACTCACTCTTGATCAAAGTTGTATTGGACTACAGCACGCAACCCGCTCACTCACTCTTGTAGTGGACTACAGCACGCAACCCGCTCACTCACACCCACGATTCACTAACTTACCAGCTAACTCCCAAGAATGGTATGTCCATTGTGTATATCCCATGCTGTGTACATACCATATTGACCGTCCCAGCAAATGAGATGCACATCCTTTAAATACTACTGTCTTCCATGGTATATCAAATGAGCATTTGATGATTACACTTTTCAAGAAATTATTGCTCTAACAAAACCTCCATTTTGGATAAAAACTAATTGTTGTAAATCAAATAGATACTTTCTTGATGGGATTGAAACATTCTTATTTCACAGAAAATGTTAAGTGGATTGATAAATAAGTAATAACCTTTGTCAATATCTTTCCAGGATAAAATACTAGTAATAGCAATTAATATTGACACCATCAAGGTTCATTATATAATAACCAAATTTCAAAGCTTCAAATGAAATGCCGGTACTTAAATGGCAGTAGAATATTATTTGACACTAAAACATTGTAACTGTTACAGATTTGGACAAAACTGGTGAATTTTCCTACTTTATCAATATGTTCCTACTTTATCAATATATTCCTGGACAGGTTTAAAGTTTCAAGATCTCATGTGTATCAACCATCTGATATGGATAGCTGGGATCAATATCTCCCGTTTGTGTGACGAAGTTGGGTGCTTCACTCCAGACTTTCACCAGACACCAGAAAAGTTTGATTTATTTATGTGATACTTTACTTGCAGACTCGCTTGGTAGAGTGAAGAGGAAAAATATAAAACATTGATAGTATTCAACAGTTACTCAGAACACCAGGAGTCCTTTTACAATCTGTTACAGGGCAACAGAATAATGTTTTATTTTTTATCAATTATTTATTTTGCCTTAATTACTGCTGGTTCATGCTCAAGTATTGTATTGTGCGGCACTAAAGATACACAGATTAAAATTCTTGGTTATTGCAAATAATGAGCTTGCCCATTACTTGGAGACTTTTGTAATTCTCTTTAGTGCAATGCATTCCTGTACCTACCTCCCTCACTCATACACTGCAACTCTCATAACTAAACCAAAATACTCTCATTTACTCACATTCTGAACACAGACTGGGGTGACTCACATTCAGACTTTCCTTACTCACATTCAGATTTTCTTGACTCACATTCAGATGTTCCTGACTCATGTTAAGACGTTCCTGACTCGTATTCAGACTTTCCTTACTCACATTCAGATTTCCCTGACTTGCATACACTTTTCCTGACACACATGCAAATTTCCTGACTCACATAATGACATCCCTGACTCACATAATGACTTCTCTGACTCACATTCAGATTTCCCTGACTTGCATGCACTTTTCCTGACACACATGCAAATTTACTGACTCACATAATGACTTTCCTGACTCACATAACTCACATAATGACTTTCCTGACTCACATAATTACTTCCCTGACTCACATAATTACTTCCCTGACTCACATAACTCACATAATGACTTCCCTGACTCACAGACAAACTCAGTGAACTGACCAACACATTTTCTGATGTGGTTTCTGAAATTATTGAAGACAAAGGGTCAAACAGGTCAATCTTGACCTTGACAGTCATCATTCTATCAACCACTGATTTTGCTAGACCACATTTAGTAATATACAACAATCTACAAGGACTGGTGTAACCTCCATCCATTGTCATCAGGATCTGTTTCCTAGGGGCAGATAATCAGTAATTTAAGTTTCAAGTACATTTTAGATATATCGGTTCCTGTCATGACAAATTATTTATGACATATCAAGCTCACCGAAAACTCCACTGAAGCTTGCCTATAGCTCAGATGAAACTTTACAGTCATGAATAACAGGTGACATCACATTACTCTCAATGGTGAAGTAATGTGACATCATGTGACTTCAACTGACCAATCAGCATTGAGAACTGCTGAGACTGCACATGTACAAATGTTGTAACACTGTCTGTTTGTACTATATAGATGACGTTTCTGTTAACAGACCAATGTGCTACAGCTGGTGGAAAATGAGTTTAGACATTGTAGAAATAGTAGGCTTGTTTGTTCCACAGATCATATTTTTCACAAGACAAACCTGTGAGAATTCAAGATGGGTTACAATAGGCCCCAACAACCTGTGCTTGTCTCAAGATATGACTCTGTGAATCAGGATACCATTGTTCAAAGCGATCTTAGCGCTAAGGTGATTGTAACTCCCATACTTTAACATAGACTTACCACAGTCTTTTAGCAGGCCTCCACACAGCAAACTAAAGTTTGACAACACATGTTGTCAAACTCGAGTTTGAGAGTGAGAACATTCCAACAACCCGCCACCAACACAAATTTCAGAGTTGTCAAACTGTTGTCGAGAAATAGGATTGGTCTCTATTCACACCAACTTTTCCATCAAACTTTCTGTGTTGTCAAACTTGTGTTGTTCACAAACAACCAATCGCAGTCAACAAAACTGTCACGTGACCACACCAATAGACACATGGCGCTCACATGGCACGAAAGTTTGACGTGTGAAAACGCAAGTTTGACAACTTTTAAAATTTCAACAACATGTGAAGACCGCTTTAGCACTAAGGTGATCATAACTCCCATACCTTAACATAGATTTACAATACTCTTAGCCCTTAGGTGATAGTAACTCCCAATTACCTGAACAATGACTACAACAGTCTTAGCTCTAAGGTGATCGTAACTCCCATACCTTAATATAGATTTACAATAGTCTTAGCGCTAAGGTGATAGTAACTCCCAGACCTTAACAATGACTTACAATAGTCTTAGCGCTAAGGTGATAGTAACTCCCAGACCTTAACAATGACTACAACAGTCTTAGCGCTAAGGTGATCGTAACTCCCATACCTTAATATAGATTTACAATAGTCTTAGCGCTAAGGTGATAGTAACTCCCAGACCTTAACAATGATTTACAACAGTCTTAGCTCTAAGGTGATTGTAACTCCCAGACCTTAACAATGACTTACAACAGTCTTAGCGCTAAGGTGATTGTAACTCCCAGACCTTAACAATGACTTACAACAGTCTTAGCACTAAGGTGATCGTAACTCCCAGACCTTAACATAGGCTTATGGCAGTCTTAGCGCTAAGGTTTTTTTGTACAATGGCTCCCAGGTTGTCAGGGTTAGTGATTTGGTCAATTGCATGTCATTGTAACTTGATGGCATTGATTGATGCTCATAATATCGATCACAGGTTTGTCTTGTCCAGAGATGATTGTTCGCAGGCTTCCATCATATAACTTGAATATTTTCTTCAATAAACAACAAAGAAGTTTTGTAGACAAAGTCAGGTTATCTAGGAACAAGTTTCGTTTACTCCTTGTTGAGTTTTTGTTGTGTGGGAGACTGTTGTGAATGATTGTGCGTGTTGTTATGTTGTACTGATTCATACTGAATCATATGTGTTACAACGGTTGAAGATCAAAATTGTATTTATATCAATATGTTCTTTATTTCATATAGTGCCTTCAATAAAATTGTCATAATAAATTAATGTCTCCAGATCCTGGTGTTTGATTTATCTGTTCATCATTCATCATATATCATCATTCATCATATATCATCATTCATCATATATCATCATTCATCATATATCATCATTCATCATATATCATCATTCATCATATTTCATCATTAATCATATTTCATCATTCATGATATATATCATCATTCTTCGGGGAGGTGGGGTAGCCTAGTGGTTAAAGCGTTGGCTCGTCACGCCGAAGACCCGGGTTCGATTCCCCACATGGGCACAATGTGTTAAGCCCATTTCTGGTGTCCCCCCCCGTGATATTGCTGGAATATTGCTAAAAGCGGCGTAAAACTAAAACTCAGTCAGTCAGTCAGTCATCATTCTTCATATATCATCATTCATCATATATCATCATTCATCATATATCATCATTCATCATATTTCATCATTCATCATATATCATCATTCATCATATATCATCATTCATCATATTTCATCATTCATCATATATCATCATTCATCATATATCATCTTTCATCATATTTCATCATTCATCATATATCATCATTCATCATATTTCATCATTCATCATATTTCATCATTCATCATATATCATCATTCATCATATTTCATCATTCATCATATATCATCATTCATCATATATCATCATTCATCATATATCATCATTCATCATATATCATATATCATCATTCATCATATATCATCATATATCATATATCATCATTCATCATATATCATCATTCATCATATATCATCATTCTTCATATATCATCATTCTTCCTACCAGGGAAGATCCGGGTTAGAATTGGTCTTCAGCAACCCATGCTTGTCGTAAGAGGCCACTAACGGGATCGGGTGGTGAGGCTCGCTGACTTGGTTGACAAATGTCATTGTTTCCAAATTGCATAGATCAATGTTCATGCTGTTGATCCCTGTATTGTCTGATGCAGGCCCGATCATTTACAGACCGCCGCCATACAGCTGGAATGTTGCTGAGTTTGGCATTTAACAACAAGCAAGTTTGATCAAGTGCCACAGTTTATCAGTTGGTGTAAAATCAGGAGAACAGGCTGGCCAATCTATTGCATCAACCTGATTCTGCTGATCATAGAGATTTTTCTGGGTTACATCTTCTTTTTATTCTTGAGTACAACGTTTCAGGGCTTGTTCTGGTGCTGTTATAATTTACCCCATTTTAAATCCAATCGTGCCATGAAATCCTTTCTTCCTGCCAGTATTAATCTTTTAAATGATTCCTAGTGTTTGTCTCACCTTGTTAGCGTGTTATATGTGTGTTAATTATTGTATGAAAATAATTTAATCATTTTATCAATGTTTGAGCTCTGTACTTTACACAAGAATTCCCTCACAGGTAATAAAGTATTGTCATTGTCAGTGTCACCCGTGACATCACAATGCTATGACGATGCAATACATGTAGAGGTCAATAGATACAGCTAACAGGGCTAATAGAATACATATTTTTATGAATATATAAAATATCATTCACTGCAAAATTATTGGATTAACTTTGAAATGTATAGATACTTATTATACAAAATTGTTGATTGATTTAGAAATGTACAGAGACTTATTTATAAATGTATAGAATGTAAAGCAATAGCAGTGTATACAAAGAAATTATGGTTTATACATGGGAACAGTGATGAGGGTAGGGTATTGTCTTATTGTTTTATGTACCATGCATTTGGGAGGTACACACCCTGATCCCTGTTTATTGATGGTTTTGTGCATTTGATGAAGATAGCTTCAATCAACTTGCGTTTCCGCCAGTCACTGATGTTTTTTGCGAGGACTTCAGTTTCTCAGTCAATTTCATTCTGATTCTGCTGCTGAATGTTCCTGGCAACAAAAGACTGATGCTGACGTCCATTGTTATCGTGGGCCTCCTTTCACAAAGCGCTAAGGTGATCGTAAGTCACTAAGGTAACCTTAGTGCAATGTTAAAGAATGGGAGTTCAGGTTAGCCTTAGTAAAGGTTGGTTTGTGAAAGGAGCCCCTGGAATCTTGGCTGTGGACCATTAGCTATAAGAGCTGGAATCTCCAGAAGCTGTAGCACAGAGGGTTCAGTTTGCCCTGGGGGCGGTGGGGTAGCCTAGTGGTTAAAGCGTTGGCTCGTCAGGCCGAAGACCCGGGTTCGAATCCCCACATGGGTACATTGTGTGAAGCTCATTTCTGATATTGCTGGAATATTGCTAAAAGCGTGTAAAACCAAACTCACTCACTCACTCACTCACTCAGTTTGCCCTGATCGGGGTGCAAGGATGTTCTGTGGTTGAAACTAAATCTGCCGATATCATCTCCAATCCACTTCCAAACATGTACCTTCTTCTGCCATTAGCATCAACAAAACCCTCAACAGGACATCAATATGCTCAGAAACAGCCATCATTGAACTGTCAAATTAACCTAGATTTATCTGTGAACACAGTACTATTTCACTTGTGCCTTTTTCACCGAAGATATCGCAGCACCACATCATAAGTACAGCTCTGTGGTGAGCCTGAAGTGGTATATGACATCTTGATGTTATGTTTGCTTCTTGAAGCCTCTTCCTAATAGCGTGGTCATTAATGTTAGAAGTGTTTCTTAGCCATATCTTTAAAGCATTAGCAGTAATGGTCCACTGGCATAGAGTCTTCAGGACAGTGAGGCAATCCTGTGCTCTCGGTGTGATTCCTGGCCGGAGTGGTGAGGTTCCTGTACTTGTCCTGTCTGCTGAAAGCGTACCCACAGACTGAATGACAGGCAGGACACATTTAGACGTCATGACACTTCACACAAACTGATGCCGTCTTGAATCCATATCAGAGCTGTCAATATTACCCTGACATCTCTGAAGCATGCTTTTCAAAATGTCCCTCAGTGCATACATTCAACTTTTGAGGGAATTGTGGCATGAATTCAATAAGGAATTGTGCACCATGCTGCTGATCCAATTGGCCATCCATGCACTCAGATGTCAATTCATGACATTTTTCTTTCTACAGAAATGTCATGTTTGGAATCAAGTCCCATGACAATGGAAAGTCTAGTCCAGACTCGAGTGCTGACATACAGCTGGAATATTGCTGAGTGTCGTGTTTAACAACAAACAAAATCGAAGCATGACAATGAAGACATAAATACAGGTTTGATAACATAATGGGCTTTGGGGGCAGCCTAGTGTTCAAAGTGTTCATTTGTCATGCGGGGCGGTAGGATAGTCTAGTGGTTAAAGCGTTGGCTCGTCACGCCGAAGACCTGGGTTCAAATCCCCACATGGGTACAATGAGTGAAGCCCATGTCGGGTTGCCGTGATATTGCTGGAATATTGCTAAAAGCGGAGTAAAACCAAACTCAGTCAGTCAGTCAGTCATTTGTCATGCTGCAGAACCCTGTTCGATTCCCTACATGGTTACTCTGTGTGAAGCCCAATTCTGGTATTGCTAGAATATTGCTTAAAATGACATAAAACCACACTCACTCACCCATTGATAACATTATAACGTCGTACCGATTTGTATATCAACACATGGTGCAATGAAAACAGGAGAAACATTTTTTGGTCTTTCTGGGTAGTATATGTCAATGTGGAAGGTGTTTATGTTGAAAAATATAACTTTTTCATGTCTTTAGGTCAAATATACTGTGTTGCCTCAGAACTTTCTAATCACCCTTGAGGGGCGATGGGGTAGCCTAATGGTTAAAGTGTTTGCTCGTCACGCTGAAGACCCAGGTTCGAATCCCCACATGGGCACAATGTGTGAAGCCCATTTCTGGTGTCCCCCTCCGTGATGTTGCTGGAATATTGCTAAAAGCGGCGTAAAACCAAACTCAGTCAGTCAGTCAGTCTAATTACCCTTGTAGTTTCATTCAACATCATTTATATTATCAAAACAATTTGTACTGGGTTCTCCATGAAAAGGATTGCAATGTTGAACATTTACTATTTTCCCAGAAGTTCAATGTCAGCAGATCTGTGAACAAACCAAAAATCTAAAGTCTGCAAGTTGGGCAATATAAATATATTGAAATTCAAGATGGATTGAAATGATTTACTCTTTTCATGTATTTTGAACACAAAGTCACTGTGACTTTCGCCACTTGTACAGGTTATCTTTCAGTATAATGTATATTATGATCGATGTGGTACCACAATCTGATAAACTTGGTATCACAGTCTGGTAAATATGTTAATATGAAATAAGCCAGGGAGTAACCAGTCTTGATTATCCAATGAAACAGATCCATTGGACGTAAAAAGCAAAATTGTTTGTTTGTTGTTTAACACTGCCCTCAGCAATATTCCAGCTATATGGTGGCAGTCTGTAAATAATCAAGGCTGGACCAGACAATCCAGTGATCAACAGCATAAACATCGATCCACTCAATTGGGATACAATGACATGTGTCAACCAAGTCAGCAAGCTTGACTACCCGATCCTGTTAGTAGCCTCTTACGACAAGCATGGGTTGCTGAAAACCAGTTCTAACCCGATCTTCACAAATCAGCAAATTTGTATGAATGGATCACTGAAAGTCAATAATGACACAAGATGTTCACAGGGTCACCTACTAGGCTTTTCACTAAGCTCTGAACATCAATAACTACTTGCTTAGAATAGTATTGCCTGCAGTTTCCTAAATGTTTAGGTGCGGGCTTCTCATATGATAGGGACCGCCTCCGTGGTGTAGTGGTTAGAGCGTCCGCCGGAGAGCGGAAGGTCGCGTTCGATCCCCGACCGCGTCATACCAAAAGAAGTTAAAATATGGTACTTGTTGGTCCCTGCCTGGCGCTCGGCATTAATGGGTACAACAAGGACTGGTCTGCTCGGAGTCAGTATAATGTGTCTGAGTGGTGTATTCATGCTTCACTGCGGCATGGTATCTCAGTGGGTTGGCACTATAAAACCAGCATAAGTCTGGGCTAGTACAAGCAGCCGCACATACACATACACACGCATGCACGTCGTCATATGAGCAAAATATTATCAAGCACGAAGTTAA